TGGGGAGAAATAAGGGACACAAAAGGACTCTGGAAAAGAAAGCTGGGCTCAGCTTAGGAAGGGTTTATCTGCCCAGCTAAGGAGCTAGGACCGTTTCTCTCCTCTCCCACACGGGACCCTGTGTCCATAACTCCCGAGCTGCTAAGTGTACGATGTTGAGTGAAACAGGTGCCCTCTTGCCAGCGTGAGGCTTATAGTCTGGTGGAAGAAGTGAACATTAACCAGATCATCACGAAGTTTAACCCCTCTGCAGTCACAGTTCCTGAGTAGGCTAGTAGCATGATCTAACGTGCATTTTAGAAATCCTGAAGAACTGGAGTAGACAGGAGGGGACATAGAATTCAGTCTCCACCATGGTGAGCAGGCCTGTGCCAGGCAGTGATGGCAAATAGGGACAAACTTGAGACCTTTCCCTGGCAAACCAAGGAGGACTTGGGCAGTGTGATAGGTTCATGGGTAGCTGTGGACAGTGCCAACTTAAGAAAGAAACATGGGGCGCCGGGGTGGCTTAGTCACTTGAACGTTCTACTTCAGCTCAGGTCATGATCTCACGGCTTATGGGTTCAGGCCCCTCATCAGGCTCTGTGCTGACAGCTCAGAGCCTGGTGCCTGCTACAGATTCTGTGTCTCCCTCTCTCTGCCTCTCCTTGCTCACGTGCGCGCGCTCTCTCTCTCTCTCTCTCTCTCTCTCTCTCTCTCTCAAAAGTAAAGATTAAAAAAATTTTGTTTTAGAAAGAAACAGATTTGGGGTAAAGTCTGGGTGGGATTATAATTGAGAGTTTTGGCCATTTTGAGTTTAAGGTGCTAAAGGACCATCCAGATGGGGATTGAGACAGATATGGTTTTAGAGCGAAGGATGCCAAGCTACAGTATTATCAGGAGTCATCCGTGTATGGGTGACACTGCTCATGGATGAGATGGCCTGGAGAGGGACTTCATTGCCCTGCTGTGGTTCCCAGGATGGGAAGCAGAACTTGCAGGCCACAAGGATGGGATGTTAGGTGGGCCTTTGCTATCACTAGCCCATCTCAGCTGTTCAGCAAGGAAGGTGTAGATACATGTCAGAGTAGCAAGTGTCATGAAAAGCTCTTTTTCCTGAGGAACCACTATGCTTTTTGTCCTCATGGACAATTGTAAAGTTTGCACATTTCCCTTCTTGCTTTTGCAGCCAGGAAACTCGGAGCTAATTTTGTAACTTTGTTTTAGGAACCATGTGTACAGGATGTGCATATCCAGATACTCTTTTCCTAAGTAAACACGTTTTATATATTTACGTATTCTTCAGATCTGATTTTTTTCTTTGTTTCAGGTGCCGGTGTAGGCTGTCTCCGATCCTTTGTAAAATTAGGTGGGGTTTAACTGTATAAAAATAAGCACTCCCCCCACCCTAATGGGGGGGGGCATCCTGGCACCTTTTGTAGAATGTCTGCCCAATTGCTGAGCTAATATTGGCTAGACTGAAGCAAGAGGAACCCTTGGAATTTACAGCAACCAGACAGTAAATTTAACACTCACACAACTCATTAAAACAGGATGAAAGTGCAGCTTCAAACATCTCTGTGTTTGCCACCAAGTCTGTGAAGGGAGGAGTCCCTTTAATTCAGTTCAAGGTAGAAAAGTCTGATCTTTCAGAATTGAGGATCCACCACTGGAATTAAAGACTTGTCTGAGTAGATGAGCACTCCAGATACCTTCAAAGAAGGATCGAGGTGTTGACTACAAGGATGGGCTGTGTCTTCCACTTAGGGTGTTATTTTCTTCACTCATAAAGTGTAGTTGGGTTAAACGTCATAAGCACACAGTTGACTGGATGGTAAATCTTATTTTTCATCATCCCCGCTTTTTAATATAAATAATCATTTTAGGGGCGCCTGGGTGGCTCTGTTGATTAAGCATCCAGCTCTTGGTTTTTGCTCAGGTGGCGATCTCGAGGTCGTGAGATCGAGCCTACCTCTGGCTCCGTGCTGAGCACGGAGTGTGCTTGGGATATTCGTTCTCTCTCCCTCATAAGCGTTTTCAAAGTAAATAAGTAAATATTTTAAATTTATAATTTACTAATGGTTGAGAGCCCTGTGTAAATGGTTTCCAAACTGTGTTCCATGGCCAAGGCCTCAGGGACTGCAAAGGTACTGGGGTGAGAGAGGAGGCCCAGCAAGGAGAGCCCAGCCACCACCCCCCCTGCCCCTTGCTTCCCAAAGAGCATCTGGGCAGTTTCACTATCAGGGCTCTATCTGTACAAGGTGCTACCCGAAGAAAGGATTCTCTTCAAAGTGAAGAGAAAAGCTTGGAAATTAATCGCGTTGGAAGGCACATCCCACTGGCTTGCTGTCGGGATATGACTGGCTCCTATGGAAGGGGCCAGGGGTGGGGTTCAGAAGCTCCGCCTCCCACCAGCTCTGGGACTTTGGGGGGTGGCTTTTCCTCTCTGAAACCGCCTCCTCTTCCACAGAATAGAATGCCTTCAATGACAGTAGCCACTTCGCCAGGTAAACGAGGATTAAATAAATTAGCAGATGGAGAAGTGCCGTCTAACTGAGTCTAAGAACTGACCGCCTTCGCCCTGTGCCTCCAACCCTCCTCTCCCATCTCCATTTCTCAGGAGGAGCCAATCACCTTCTGTGAAGAAGCCTTTGTGTCCCATTATCGCTCGGGAGCCATGAGGCAGTTCCTGCAGAATGCCATCCAGCTACAGCTCTTCAAACAGGTACCGGCCCTCCTGAGGGTGGCCCGTGTCTGGACTCCCGATGGGGCTCTCTGCAGCTGTCATGTTGGATGGACCGAGGCTCAGCCTGAAAGGGCTCAGGGTCTGGGGAGGGGGAGTGGGCGCAGAGGGTGGTCAGCGACCAGACGGACCCTTCACAAATGTGCCATTCGATTTCACAAGTTATCATAAACATGCAGCCAGTATTTTGAAAACTCACTTTAAAAAACAAAACAAAACAAAAACCTCACGGTTCCAAAGGCCCTTTCCTGTCTTGGGAAACATAGCGGTTCTTTGGTCGTACCCTCAGGTGCCCAGCTGAATGGTTTTCCCTCTGTTTCTTTGCATAAGCTGTTGCGCTTTTGTTCTTTCTTTATATAGTTTATCGATGGTAGACTGGATCTTCTCAATTCTGGCGAAGGTTTCAGTGACGTTTTTGAAGAGGAGATCAGCATGGGCGAGTATGCTGGTAAGAAAGCGTTTTATTTTCCTTTCCGTGCTGTGGGCCGTTATGTGGGACTAGAGTGTGCGTGGCAAGGAGTGACATTAGCTTCTTTTTCCCTTCAGTGGGGGTTAGGGAGAGACTGATTTCACCCTTGAAATGCTTGAGGAATCCCTCTTCATTTTCTGATACGACAGAGGTACCTTGGCCTGTCTGAGATCTTCTGTCCTGAGGTCACCTGCTTCCCCTGGGTGGCCAAAGTCTAGTTAAATGTAGTGGCCAGCATGCTACAGCACAAAGCACTCAGGATGTCGAGTTAGAAGAGCTGGCTTCAAATCGGGGCCCCCACTTCCAGCAAAGTGGTGAGAACTTGGTCAGGCCATGTCCCCTCTTCAGCTGAAGCGTCCCCGTCTAAGCACCGAGGAGAACGCTGCCCACCTCACAGGAATCCTGTGGAGATTAACTCAGAGTCCATGAGGAAAGGCCCGTGCGGCCATCAGGACAGGATGCTAGCACAGGTTCACTGCTAAGTGGGCATTTCTTTAAAAGGTGACAGTCATCACAGCGTGCCCGGTCGCCACAGACTATTAGACCTGGAGAGGTCGGCCTCTCCTCTTTCGGAGGAGGCATCTGAGGCCCAGAGAGGTGTTAGTGACTCTCCAATCCCAATCTGGCCTTCTTGCCGAGTCCCGAAGCCTTAGTCTTTGGCAGTGAAGCCAAAACCAAGTGCAAAATCATAATACTCATGCCGTCAGCCCCCTCATTGCTGGGTGTGTGTCTGGTCTGGACTGAGTTTATAATCCAACTTCTAGAGTCGGGCAGAATCTCACCTATAAAACCCCGTTTACAGGCCTGACCAGCCTGTGCTGCACGGGGAGCACAAGTCCCCAATAAACTGAGTCTGTGGACACTGATAGACATTTCCAGAGCCCCATGGAGTAAGAACCCGAGGACCCGGTTTTGCCCTCGAGGAGCTTTTACTGGTGGGAGAAAGAGATGCGTAACTAAAGACAAACACAGATTAAACCAGTGCAGGGGAAAAGAGCAGAAATAGGCTCTCATGCAGTTAGACTAGGACTCCACTAATCCTCATGCTAACGTGAGAGCTTCACAAAGGAGACCGCACTCTCAGAGTTGAATGCCAATTCTGAGGACAAGACGGGGCTTTCTGTGTTATTAAACTCAGTCAAGTCATTCAGAGCTTCTGGAAAAGCTGTCCGGTGATAAGACCTCCTTATCCCCCCAGATAAAATGAGGAAGTTCCCCAACAGCGCCCCCCTTTCCTTTCCCTGTCGCTGCCCCGGTGTGTTGGGGGGCTGAGTGTGTGTCCAGCAGTGTGGGGACACGCAGCCCTGTGGTTCCTGCCCTGGGCTGGCTCACAGAACTTCAGAGAATGTGGACTTCTGAGTGAGTGTTGCCTGTTTTAGAGGGCTGGTCAGAGGAAGGGGCGGGAGAGGCTTAGCGAGGAAATGACATCGGAGCCGGTCCCTCAGCACAGAGAGTGGGGAATGGCGGCCTCCAAGGGAACAGCATTGGTGAGGGAATGGAGAAAGCGGGGAATGCAAGTACGGGATGGAAAAGCTGAATGTGGGAGGGGCCCAGACCAGACTGGAGAAGAGAGTCAGGGCTGCTAAGGGGTTGCACCCGAACTCTATCCAGTAGGCAATGGGGGAGGAGGATTTGGGTTGGCGCTCAGGGCACTGATAGGATCAGATCTCAGTTTGAGAAAGAAAACTCGCGGCGGCAACTCACGGCTGCCTCCTGCAGGGAGTAGAGCACGGGAGCCTCGCGTGTTTCTCTAGATTTTGAACTTTCCAAGTCCTGCTCGCTGTAAGCAATTGGAGGAACTCCTGAGGGCACATGACATTAACCCGTTCTCTGATTCCTCTTTCCCCAGGCAGCGATAAACTCTACCATCAGTGGCTCTCCACAGTCCGGGTAAGTGTGCACCCCCTCGGAGCTACCCGGGCCCCTCTGAGCCTCCTGGTAGCCCTCTGCCTCCCCTGCCACCCACAGGGTGGTCATCCCGCCTGGGCCCTCCATTCTTTCAGCTGAAGATGCTTCTGTTTGTAAAGCCAGGCCATCGAGTGCCAGGTGGAGGCTTGCAGGAGGAGTCTGTCCGAAGCATCCTTCTGTGAGGGCAAGGAGAGCCAGGAGAAGCTTCCTCGTCTCAGGAAGCTGGCCCAGGAGTGTTGAGTGGATGTTGTCATCCTAGAGCGTTTTCTGGGGCGTCTCCTTCCAGACCAGCACGATTGGGACATTTTCGTGGGAAAACCAAAAATGTGTCCCTCTTGCCGCCCTGCAGTGTTTTTCACAGCAAAGGCTCCCAGGAGGGTGGAGAACAAATCACTGGTTTTTTTATTTTATTTTATTTTTTTTATCCCCTCGCTGTGGTTATGAACAGTTTCTGGCTGTGTTAGAAGCCAGGTGCCTAGGTCTTCTTCAGAAGGCACTAAAGAATTCAACTTCTCGCCTTTGCCCAGGTTTATCAGTGTGCATGTGCTGAAGGCTTCCTGCGTACCGGAGGCCTTGCTGGGGACACAGTGGGGAGCAGAAAGACACAGGCCCTGCCCTGGGGAGCTTGCTGTCTTCTTGGGGAGGCACACGTAAACAAGCAACTGCAACATAATGTGATAAGTGTTCTTTTCTGCTTACGAGCCAAGCACACCACTGCCAAGTCAGGTCCCTTGGAAGTGGCTGCATTTGGCCGAGAGTAAGGAATTCCTCAATGAAAGACCTCTTTTGTTCTTCTTGTATGGCCAAACACTGCACTTGGCAAATCACAGACCAGCAATAAGGACTTGCTGATTGATTGATAAAAGGAGTTTTAATATTCCAAAGGACCATTGAAATAGGATACTGAGTAATTTTGGAAAGCAGTATGGAATAAATGAGCAGGTCAAAATTTCATATTGTCCTATGACACAGAATGCTTTCTGGGTCAGACTGCAATGTTTTTTAATTAAAGCTCAAAATTTCTAATACGGGCTGTTACCAAAAATTGTGCTAAGTGTTAATCCTAATAATTACATTACTGTGTCTTATTCTTTTATATGCCCACTTGATCCAGTCTCTTTGTTCGAATCAGTTAGAATTATCTTTCCAAACCAGCACAAATCAGATCATGTGATACATTTGCTTAAAAATCCTCAGGAGTGCCGGCTCCATATCCTGGCCCTTCGTGAGCTGACCTCATCTGGCCTCAGCCCCGCTGGCCATTCCTCCCATGATGCGCTGACCACTGCCTAGGATCGCATGGCTTTTCAGCCTCTGCCCTTTTTTTAATGTGCTCTTCCCCATCTCTCGAAAGCCCTTACCCATCCTATCCCCCTGTGTGAACTCCTCATCATCCCTCATGGACCAGGCCAAATGCTTCATCCTCTTAACTCCTTCTCTGACCTTGCAGACCATGAGCTGCCTCCACGCGCCTTGCGCACACAGGCAGTGCGGCCCTCAGGACCTTCAGCTGCGGCTGTTTACCCTGGGGCACGCCCCCCCCCGGCCCCCCCCATACTGGAGGTCCTTGACGGCTTAGGCCAGCCTCCCCGTGACTCCATATCCTGCAAGGCTAACACAGGTGCCTCCGCAGTGAGGGCTCACAAAATACCTGGAGCCTGTGCACTACATATCCATCCCTTGGCCTCCTTTGTGTCCTGGGAAAGCCATCTTTCCTCCTCTTCTCCCCGCTCTCCCAGAGAACCTAAACCAAGAAATTGGTATGTCGGATGTGTACGAGAGCCATGATTGATGTTGATGGCTAGTCATTCTTTCCTTTTCTCAAGATACCAATGTTAAGGGAGGCAGCCTGCCAGAGTGATTAAAACTAACAACACAGAAAACCAAGGTGAGGAAAGGAAGGCACATGATTCCGGGTAGCCAAATAAACTAGAATTTCTTGAGAAGTCATAGATTGCGATGGGGAAAGCTTGCCTCAGAGAGCCTGGGAAGAGCTTTTCTTCCAGCCAGCAGACTGGTGCCAACCAAAATACTGGGCCCCCCTGCGCCTAGTTATCAGTGTCTGGATCCGCACCCTGCTCGCCCAGAACCACCCATAGTGATTCTACCATGGCCGTAACTACTTGCCCAGGACCAGTTACCATCTAGGCCTGTTTCTCTAATTAAATCACACGCTCTTGGAATGTTGCTTAACTTGTTTAAAGGGAAGAGGTTTCTGTTGGTGTTGGCCTACTGTTCTCTTCAGCCCAAGTTGCCAATTGATGTTTTTATTATAGAAAGGAAGCGGAGCCATTCTGAATACCGTGAAAACAAAGGCGAACCCAGCTATGAAGACTGTCTATAAGTTTGTGAGTACGGGTCTTGCACTCAGGATCCAAACAGATCTGTCCCTTAGCATGACTAAACCCTTAAATACACCTGACCCTGCCTTGCAGAGGTGAATCAGGGGCTGGCTGTATCCTAAAGCTTCCGAGGCTCTTAAAATTATGTAGTGTTGATATTTTGTGACCAGGTCGGTGATGTTTTTCATTGGAACTGTTTGTGCTCACAGTTGCTGCCCTCAAGAAATGGGAAGCTATGGGTTTTAGCTTGTACTAAAATAGAGACTGGGTGGCTTAAGATGCTGGCTGTTCTGTGCCGGTGTCCCTGGGACCTGGAGGCGTGGTCTGCGGAGTGTTCTGGTAAAACCTTTCCTGTGGGTATCCCCATTATCACGTCAAAATAAAGCAGCTCCTTTGCTGGTTACTGAAGACCGTTCACGGTGGGACACACTCCCTGATTTTTGTCCCCAATTCTTCATCAATCTCTCTCACCACTGCCCTATAGGACGTGCATTGTTTGTGAAACCCATGCCCACAAGCAGAGAGAAAATAGGAGAACACGTCAGTTCCCGATCCGATGTGCCATCTTTTACAAGCCTCAAGTATTTTTTTTTTTTTCTCATGGTTTCTCTTGCTTGCTAATTTGACTGTGAGCCACTTAACTGGGGTGGTTTTGTTTTATTTCCATTTTTAATTTTGTTAGTCCTTTCCGTGCTTAAACTGTAGTTATTTTAACCGGGCGGGTGGCCTGCCAAGAGAACCACACAGGTCTGAAACGACAGAAAATAAAAGCTAGGGTGTGTGCCGAAATGAGATTTAAGGAACGGCACTAGGGGCACCCAGCAACGTGTCTGCTCAGGCCATTCAGCCCCGGCAGGAAATTGGTCCTGAGGCCCTGCCCTGGTGAAATGTAATAGATATTCAGATTCTAGCAGCCTCAAAAGCTGCTGCTCGACACTTACTGGTGGCTATCACCGGGCTGCTGAGATAAATAATCATAGAGAGCAGATGAAGGGCTTTGGAAGGGGGGGAAAAAATCAGTGCCGTCAAAATGCAGAAAATAAAATCTCCGTAGCCTCTTTAAGGCATTTTTTTTTAACCTCTTAACATTGTATTTGTTTTCATAGCCATTATGTTTTCGACTTGATGATCCCATTTTTCCTTCCTTTTTCTAGTAATCAGAGAAGGTGATTCACGACGGATTGAAATCAAGCATAGTCCCTGCTGGAAACAGAGAGGGAATCTTAACTTAAATTAATTTTTCATGCAGGCAAAAGATCATGCAAAAATGGGAATAAAAGAGGTGAAAAACCGCTTGAAGCAAAAGGTACTTGAAGTTCTTATTCAAAATGTATAAGCACCGTGTATGAAATGCGTGGCCACAAAAAAGTATGATGTGATCAATAGAGGGCTGTTTGATACAGTGTTGTTAGCACACTTCAAAATGCATTACCAGCTGTCCGGGAGTTTTCACACTGTTATAAATATTCACAGACAAAAAACTGTCTTCAAATAACATTAAGACTGGCTTAAACCCACAAAGGCAAGCAAGTTCAGAGTCCCCACTGCCAGTCTGCCCCTTGCCCACCCCACCAGGCCTGGGGTTCACCGGGCTGTATCGAAATTGGCTCAGCGCCACCCCCACCCCCCGCCCCCCATCTGGGCACCACAGCCGACCTCTGCCCTGGGGCTGCTTATGACCAAAACCCAGAAGCATCTCCAGGGAAATGACTGCCATGATCCCGGCAGGCACCTGGCCACCATGCAGACATAGGGCACAAAGGGTGGGTTTCTGGAGGACGCCGCGGGCTCTCCTCACGGTGGTGGGTTCACCAAGAGGAGCCCAGCAGTTCCCATTTCAGACTCTCGGGAGACAGGGAGAGGACTTTGATTATCTTCCTGGACCATCAAGTAAAATGGTATGAAACCTACAGCTGCACGCTGGCCCGGAGTCCCCTGCCTGATTGTCTAGCCTTGTACAGGGAGGTGAACATAGCAGAGGGCATTTTTATATTATGATGAATGTCATCAGTATTACTGTTGTCACCCTTCAGTCACCACTTCCTAAGGATGGTCCGTGCTGGGGGCTTTTACATTTAAGCCTTAGAACAGCCCCGGGGCGGGGTATTATTCCTATTTTGTGTGTAAAGAGACTAGACTGTGGTTCGGAGGTAAAGGAATTTGCCCAAGGACACACTGCTGGAGCCTACAGAAGTGGGATCAGGTTCCAGACCCGTCCATTTCTAGCATCCATGCTCTTACGACAACAGCATTTCTTACTGCCCGTCTAAAACAAGTGTTTGCTTTTCCAAAAGATGTTTGGGAGCACTTGACTTCGTTATCCCACACCCCCAGTGTGCAACTCGAACAAGGGCCTTTGTCTATCTTGGCAGTTTTTAAAAAATTGAAAGCAGTTTTAATTTTATGAAGTCAGAAAGGACCTCTCATTAACTTGCAATGGTCAAAGGAATTGATTCCTTTCTTTTAATTGCAAAATAATTTGTTCTGACTAAGCATTTAAATTCCTAGTTTCAGCTGAGAGTGAATTTTTAACGGCCAAGGATTCAAGTCCCGAAATAAAACTCCTGTCGTGTAAATCCAGATAGACCTTAACTGTGGTCTGTTGCACCCTGCCAGAGGCCGGCAGGTGGAATTCTTGGATGTTAAGTCCTATACATACTTTTTTATCTCCTACCCCAGCCGCGTGTAACTGAGTGGGATAAAATACAGAGTGACAGGGAGGGGGGAGTTCTCTCACCAAATCTTCCCTCCTTGATGACCTGATCTCGGCTCAGCTGGTGTCAGAATACCACTGGAAGTAAGTAAAGAAAGGGGTCCCTCCTCAGGCGGAGGACAGATGTTCCTTATTGGTCGGATCTGCTCTCTGCAGGCCATCGCCTCCCTCCTGGTACACGGAAGCGCTGGGCCTTCCGAAAATCCCCTTTTTATGATACGTAGCATTTCTGCAAATAACCGGTTCCGCTCCGGTTTTGTGATGTTGTTGTTCAAAGCTTCACTTAAACAATCCAGATCGCGCTCCCTCCACACCGCCCCCCCCCCTTCCTCTCCTTGA